TTGTCTAGGACAAATCAAGCACGGCTCAGAAGACCATTGCAACTGCACCTGCAAGCGGATACACAATTCGTACAATGTTTTTAAATACATTGTAAAATTAATAACCAATGAAAAGTATCTTTACATCTCCGACGTGGTTTAACTTAAACCTTAACTGCAGTTATTGCTGGTGATAATAGATAGCAAGGAATCCGGAAGCCATTAGGCTACAGACATGAACCTTTCTTCTGAGACCAAAGATTGTAAATAATGTATGGTCTCATTATATCATATCCATAGTAATGCCATCATACTTCTGATTATAACTTCTACATGAAATAAGGTCTAACGTTTCTCTACCCCAATTGGTACAATTTGGACAATTATCTCTGTAGTAATTTAGATTTCCCAATCAGAAATATGGAATCTTCCTTTTCAGTGTTCTTTTTGACAAAGACAGTCCATGGTGGTTCATTTTTCAACGTTTGGATTATGATTTACTTGTTTCTAAACGATTGCTCCAAATTTGGAGTGACATGCTTTTTTTTGGCAACGACTAGTAGATGCAAATGGTATACGATATGACAGCCTATAAATTGTTGTTTATATTTATAATAATTACTGATCAGACTACTACAGAGTACGTCGTTTTTATAGATATAATACTGAACTGAAGTTTCCATGTATGAAATACATATTATCCCCATTGTCTGGACCAGAAACCAACATATACGCCTGTAACTTCCCGCTTCGAAAATGTTGTACATTTAGTCTGGTTTTCTGATATGCTTACTTCCATATACAGTCTAAATAAATAAATAGATTGGTTTGGTTTTATTTTGTTTATTGTCATAATATTTACATTTGCATGGCATTGTCACTATATAGCCTCTTTGAAAGCTGTGTCGTTGATGGGACTTTAATTACCATGCATCACGAGACACAATTCTTAGCGTATTAATACAACACTGACCGGAACTACAATATCCATTATAAATAAACATGACGGCTGCTGAAATATCGCTGGGCATTGTGAGATTTGACAATTTTATTGTTAATTTATGTGCAAAATAAAAATTGAATTAAAAAACACTTTATTACAACGAAAACAAGACCAAGGTCTACAATATCGTACAAAATGCACTTCCCGCTGCATATTCTTCAAAAATGTTGTACATTTAGTCTGGTTTTCTGATATGCTTACTTCCATATACAGTCTAAATAAATAAATAGATTGGTTTGGTTTTATTTTGTTTATTGTCATAATATTTACATTTTTATGGCATTGTCACTATATAGCCTCTTTGAAAGCTGTGTCGTTGATGGGACTTTAATTACCATGCATCACGAGACACAATTCTTAGCGTATTAATACAACACTGACCGGAACTACAATATCCATTATAAATAAACATGACGGCTGCTGAAATATCGCTGGGCATTGTGAGATTTGACAATTTCATTGTTAATTTATGTGCAAAATAAAAATTAAATAAAAAACACTTTATTACAACGAAACAAGACCAAGGTCTGCAATATCGTACAAAATGCACATCGGTTGAAATCACCAGTCCAATGCCGGCAATGGAGACAATTTTAACGCTCATGCAATTTATCAGAAATATCGTGTGTTACACTGAACTAGTCAACAGAGGTTCGTTACAAATGTCTGAAATACACATATTCTATAGACCTACTGACCCATATGTTACAGACCTACTGATATGAGTCACAGCACACATACACATTTCAGACATTTGTAACGATTTGTCTCGCATCTACGGTTCCTCAGTTTAATTCTGACGACAGGTCAAATAACGAGGCTGTTATAGAATCTACCGACTGTATCAGATTTCCAACAATCAACAATACTGACAACAGGTTAACCAGTTTTGTCATTACCCTAAATGCTAAATATTATGTAGATGATCACAACTACCATGTTGAGGATTGGGGTATGTCCCGGGACTAGGGACAGGACACAGTTCCTCACTGGGGCGAACGTTCATCACTGAGACCAGAACAGATGTATTGTAAAGGAAGGAGCTACATGTATGAATCGCCAAGGTTACTATGAAGTAGAGAGAAATAGATAAGATCCCATTGGTGCAATGGGTTGCAGCAGGTTAATTTTGGTTATTTCTGTGACCCAAAGGAGAGGGCACAAAAGGAAACTCCAATTAGGACTATATTTGTAACGGTGCGAATAGTTACTGGAATTGTATGAAAAGTAAATGGAGAGAGGTAGTTATTTCAATCATTTTGGTAAAAAGCAGACGAGCAATCAATTAAAACTGTTACGGAACACAATACAAAACATACAAATTTAGGAGTTAAATATTTATGTTTCTAACAATACACCGAAGAGGTAAAAACATTATGAATCAACGACTTACGAAGGTGAGATACGGAAAAAGCAGACGAGCAATTAATTAAAAATGTTGCGGAACACAATACAAAACATATTTTAGGAGTTAAATATTTATGTTTCTATCAATACACAGAAGAGGTAAAAACAGTCTTTAACAAGTGATTTTAAATCTACCTAAATTGTTATTAATACTTAGCCAGAAATCAGATTTTAAAACAAATATGTCAAAAACAGTGATTCACAATATGTCTGGAGAGGTATGTATCAAAAGAAGATTGCGCTTCTGACAGAGGATTAACGTAACGATTGCTTTTTGAAAATGCAATTCAAAATATTAAATACATTTAAGTAATGTCGATTAAAGCATATTTACATTGAGTTACATGTACCATGAAAAAGTTTCTATCACAGAAACTGCTTTGACATACCAAAGTCCTAAACAATGGTACATTGTTGTTGTTTTCCCTGCTTAATGTTCAGCATTTTGGGAAATTGCAACAACTGGTTTACCCGTTGTCAGTATCATGTGATCAGGCGGAACGCTGTGCTGGATGCCTTCGACATGGTTTTTCAGTGAGATAGCACTATAAAGTCGGCATCAGATCTGCGCTATCACAAGGAGGCAAGTACACCAACATACTTAGCTGTCTCTAGCACACATACATACATGCTCGCTTACATAATAGACACGGAGGCACGTCTTTAAATTACCTTAGCAGTTGATAGGACGTTAAACAAAATAAAAACAAACCAAATAAGGAACCAATTCAAAACAAAAATCAAAAATGGATCAGGCAAAAAGAGGGCCCAAATATAGGAAGCTGAATTAAAATGCAACAGAAAATAACTTTATATGACAATTTTGAGATGCTGATAAAAATATTGGCTTCAACCAATACCAAAATACAACAATAAGCAAAAATATTATGGTGGATGACAAAATTTTGAACATTTTTATAATTGCTTACTTTAAAATTGTTCAACCGTACAAACTGCGGGGAAGATCATCGTTATAGATGTACATGTATATGTGAACTATTAACAAAATGCTGTTTTTTTTTTTTTTCTAAAGCGATGAACTGCAGCTGCGGCGATATTGCAAACCAAATTTTATGTTAAATGATGTAGCATAAATGTGTACGGCTAAGCAGTTATATATATAAGTTATATTCGTCATAGATATACATGATTGCTATAAAATATGCAGACATTTAACAACCCTACATTCACGCCTTATGTCATATGAAAGAGCTTATATCAATATCTTAAATCATGAAATGTAATTTGTACATGTAGATGGTTTGATATGTGACACAGATATACTTCTTTTCAGAGTATTTTATAATCGTATTGGTGTAAAATGTTCTGTCCGTTAAGCACACTGATCTCCAATGGATACTGATCTCCTTCTGTCATTGTAATTCATCAGTTGTATGGACTACCAGGTATACAACACATTTTTTTCTATTTTGAAAGTTTATGAAATTTCCACTGAATCATGCTGTCCCCTTTGTCAGTAGGAATTGACGCATGTGAAACCGACCATGATGTTTTGATACATTTATTTTCGCTATGTCATCGTTTGAGTGATGCAGAACGCAACTTTTTAGTAAAAATTATATACGACTCGGCAAATGTAACGTGTGTGCTCGGCCTTATCATTTATGAGTAGAACACCTACAGCATTGCAGATTAATGTTTTCCTCCTGCATCAGCGATACAAATATGATCCTGTGGACTGTGGTATTTAAATTTTAATATGAAGTAACAGTGATGATTTAAAAATCAGCAGCTTTTCAATTTGTGTAATCAAATAACTTATCATGTATTCATTACTTCATGAAAAAATCTGAGCTAACCTGGCAGTAGGAAAACCTCAACATGCAATATTTGCGTTGAAACGCATACACATGTACACCGCAAAATGGTCAGATATAATTATACATGTAACAGGTATGCACCAATTTCACGTAGACAATGGAAAATCTTTGAAAACAATTGTAAATAGTGTTCCATACCAGGCACACAATATCTCATCTGTGTCAAATATGTTGACATCCTGACAGCAAATACACTGAAACACAAGATTCTTAACCCTTTCACCCTTATGTAACTTTAGTAGACTCTACCATGCATTGATCTGGATGAGTCCCTCATGGTCTACAGTGGTGAAAGGGTTAAAATGATTCCTCTGATATCCTATTCTGGTCACTTGTGTTTCCGTAATGGGGAAACCATGAACAGCTCGACATACGACGTTCGACATTAAAATTTTGAATGTTAAGCAGCTTGACAAACGACATTCGACCCTCAGGTTGAATGTTGAACAGCTCGGCACGACATTCGACATATATAATTGAAAGTTGAACGGCACGACATTTGACCTTCAGATTTTGAATATTGAACAACTGGACATACACGACATTCGACATATAGACTTTGAAAGTTGAACGGCACGACATACGACATTCGGCATTCAGATTTTGAATGCTGAGCCAACTTCACGCAATTTTGTTTTGATTGGTTCGTTGCTGGTGGTCAGTTGGGTCATGTGTGTCTCATGTATCTTTTAAATACACGAATTTGATTTAATATAGAAACTGGACGATCTTTTTGTTATTAAATAAAAAGGCTGTATCTTAAAATCAAGTCAATGTCAAAGTCAAAGGTTTTATTTAGAGTCGGTACATGGTATAACAATATAACATTAGCTCTAAGGAGCTATTAAAACCGACTTAAAATCGATATCATGTTTTAATTGCAAGATTGACTTAGTACAATTCTTCATGGACATAGAATTAAATGTAAATTAGGATATTAGAAATATTTTTAACTGATTTGAAAAATTGTCAATTTGAAAGAAACTTTTTATTAAATTTACAATTTACAACCGAACTACACTCAACTGGAATAATTAGTAGTACTAATACCACGCCGGGCTCTGTGTCATACACCGGTAACGTATATTGTTACGTACACATCTATACAGCATCGGTTAAAGGGGAGTTATGTGCACGTTTTTGAGTACCTCGGTATCTAATATCTTAAGTTCGTAGAAGTTGCAACTGTTTTTACATCGATTGCTTGGTATGGCAATAGCTGTGGAAGAGTTATGTCCCTTGCATCCATAAGAGTAAACGTTGAATTGTATATGGAAGTGATAATGAATTGTGTCTCTGTCATGAAGCGTGGACGTTGGATTTGTTACAGGGCTTTTCATCTTCGTGTTTCGGTCAGAATATTGAACATAATAGAAAAAATAAGGGGATTTTGCCATGTATTGATTATACATACATTGTATTTATGACCACCATGTTAAAAATAGGTTCCTACAAATATTACACGTTCGAATACATGTTCCATTGCAAATATGCAAAGTTACAGACAATATACAGCCGGATCTAAAACAAGGTGGAACATGACAAACAATGTTTTACGAACAAATAAAATGACGGAAAAATCAACATATTTCATTTATATTATGATCGGCAGAATGTAATTTAAAGAAGCACATATGTGTGCAAGCGAAGAGAGCACTGTCCAAGTATATATATATATATATATATATGTATTATAAAGGCAGAAAAATGATCCTTAAGGACGAAGAAATATTATAAAAAGAAAAAATCTAACGTATATACATATATATATTGTCGTCTTTAGTAGATTAGGAAAAGAAACTTCACTATGAAAAGTATTAATCTTTCGACATAAATGTACAACGTACCACATAAATTGACGTAGTTCATCAATGTATCACGTTCGAGTAATCTGTGCAAGTGTTACTTTTCTGACATTGCAAGATGTGCCAAAGTAAGGAGGAATTATCTCCCTTCGATCATAGTTTCCACCATTCAAAACTTCCTGATGGTAAGATCGATCTCACATCCTCTTTCGTTACCGTGTGACCGTCTCCCTGTTCAAAGACAGTTAAGAAAAGTATCATTCAGAAATAAGCTTCGATACCGAGTAAACAGATGTTTTATATCATTAAACTAGGAAGATGATATGGATTTGAGACTTGTGTAGAAAGAAACACTGCATTGCAACCGCCGGTGTGTAGTGTCTAGGTACTATATCTGTTAACTATAATGCGTGTCAACAAATATAAATAAAACATTTGAAAATCTTACAAAAAGTGCTAGTCGTTGTTACATTGTAGTTCAGTATGTTAGAGGTGATATACCTCTCACCTACTACGATATACAAAGTTAAATTAATGTTTACAGTATATACGTCTCTGAGTACAGTAACAGGGTACGGGTACAGGGTACGGGTTACAGGGTACGGGGCACGGGGTACGGGTACGGGTAACAGTGTACATGGTATAGTGTACGGGGTACAGGGTACAGGGTACGGGGTACCGGGTACGGGGCACGGGGTACGGGTACGTGGTACAGGGTATAGTGTACGGGGTACAGGGTACGGGGCACGGGGTACGGGTACGGTAACAGGGTACAGGGTATAGTGTTCGGGGTACAGGGTATAGTGTACGGGGTACAGGGTCCGGGGTACTGGGTACAGGGTACGGGGCACGGGGTACGGGTACGTGGGACAGGGTATAGTGTACGGGGTACAGGGTATAGTGTACCGGGTATAGTGTACGGGGTACAGGGTACGGGGTACGGGGGACGGGGTACAGGGTACGGGGCACGGGGTACGGGGTTCGGGTACGGTAACAGGGTACAGGGTATAGTGTACGGGGGACAGGGTATAGTGTACGGGGTACATGGTACGGGGTACGGGGTACAGGGTACGGGGCACGGGGTACGGGTACGTGGGACAGGGTATAGTGTACGGGGTACAGGGTACGGGGCAGGGGGTACGGGTACGGTAACAGGGTACAGGGTATAGGGTACGGGGTACAGGGTACAGGGTACGGGGCACGGGGTACGGGGAAGGTAACAGGGTACAGGGTATAGTGTACGGGGTACGGGGTACAGGGGATAGTGTACGGGGTACAGGGTATAGTGTACGGGCTACATGGTACGGGGTACGGGGTACAGGGTACGGGGCACGGGGTACGGGTAGGTAACAGGGTACAGGGTATAGTGTACAGTGTCTAGGTACTATATCTGTTAACTATAATGCGTGTCAACAAATATAAATAAAACATTTGAAAATCTTACAAAAAGTGCTAGTCGTTGTTACATTGTAGTTCAGTATGTTAGAGGTGATATACCTCTCACCTACTACGATATACAAAGTTAAATTAATGTTTACAGTATATACGTCTCTGAGTACAGTAACAGGGTACGGGTACAGGGTACGGGTTACAGGGTACGGGGCACGGGGTACGGGTACGGTAACAGGGTACATGGTATAGTGTACGGGGTACGGGGTACAGGGTACGGGGCACGGGGTACGGGGAAGGTAACAGGGTACAGGGTATAGTGTACGGGGGACAGGGTATAGTGTACGGGGTGCATGGTACGGGGTACGGGGTACAGGGTACGGGGCACGGGATACGGGTACGTGGTACAGGGTACAGGGTATAGTGTACGGGGTACGGGGGACAGGGTATAGGGTACGGGGTACAGGGTACGGGGCACGGGGTACGGGTACGTGGGACAGGGTATAGTGTACGGGGTACAGGGTATAGAGTACGGGGTACATGGTACGGGGTACGGGGTACAGGGTACGGGGCACGGGGTACGGGGAAGGTAACAGGGTACAGGGTATAGTGTACGGGGGACAGGGTATAGTGTACGGGGTACATGGTACGGGGGACGGGGTACAGGGTACGGGGCACGGGGTACGGGGAAGGTAACAGGGTACAGGGTATAGTGTACGGGGTACGGGGTACAGGGTATAGTGTACGGGGTACAGGGTACGGGGTACAGGGTACAGGGTACGGGGCACGGGGTACGGGTAAGGTAACAGGGTACAGGGTATAGTGTACGGGGTACAGGGTATAGTGTACGGGGGACATGGTACGGGGTACGGGGTACAGGGTACGGGGCGCGGGGTACGGGTAGGTAACAGGGTACAGGGTATAGTGTACGGGGTACGAGTTACAGGGTATAGTGTACGGGGTACAGGGTACGGGGTACGGGGTACAGGGGACGGGGAACGGGGTACAGGGTACGGGGCGCGGGGTACGGGTACGGTAACAGGGTACAGTGTATAGTGTACGGGGTACGGGGTACAGGGTACGGGGCACGGGGTACAGGGTACGGGGCACGGGGCGGGTACGGTAACAGGGGTACAGGGTATATTGTACGGGGTACGGGGTACAGGGTATAGTGTACGGGGTACGGGGTACGGGGTACAGGGTACGGGGCACGGGGTACGGGTACGGTAACAGGGTACAGGGTATAGTGTACGGGGTACGGGGTACAGGGTACGGGGCACGGGATACGGGTACGTTGTACAGGGTACTAGACTCAGGTACATCAGTAAACGGTACATTACTCCATGTGGTGAACTAATGGCTCCTACTCTATATATGTATGGTTTGGTATTATTTCGTTTGTTTGTGCTTTAAAGACGAGCCGTGTTTTGGTGGTACAGGAAAAACCGGAGTACCCGTAGAAACACCATCGACCAGCGACTAGCACATGACGATTGCCCCACCTAGGACTCGAACCAGTACTATCGTTACCTATAATTGATACTTTGTATGGTAATCCAAATGATACTATTATACACGGTTACTCATTGATACGTGTATGGTACGCTGTTTGATAACCTACATGTACTGTTACGGTATATATGATAGGCTAGTTAAATGATATCGTACAGTGTGTAGTAAATTAATCATTATTGTGTATGCCTTGGTACTGTTAAACTATCTGATACTGTAAATGGTGACCTAAATTGATACATTGTTATAAATAACTACACTTGTTGCACTTAATATGATGTTGATGTTTGTTCTATCTTACCATTCTCTGGATCTCAAGTAGCGGACATGCCCCTCTTCATTTCTGCCCGTATTTGTTCAGTATACGTGTCCACATAGGAAGCCATGAGTGGATTGACCAGTTTTAATTTCTCGTTAAAGAAATCATAGTTTCCGTAGTCGATTTTTCTGTACATTCTTAATGCTGTAAAGAGTTTTTGAATGGTGTCGATTTGATCATGCTCTACTGGTCTTAATGGATTCACTCTGAAGAAATAGAGTAAATTGTTGAATTGGGTTTCTATGTTCTTTGTCGGTGCTATATTCTTACTCAATTCGAGAACCATTTCAGCCTCCATACTCTTAACTTTATCAGAAACCACTTTGATGGTTTTCTGCTCAACGCTTGACGCCATCTTTCTCCTTACACTGAAAACAAAATAAGGATACAGAGTAAGAATGAGGCTGTCCAAGGATATATTCAATGTTGTCTTGCGTTTTAATGATAATAATAATAATAAAAAAGCAAACATTTGGTTAATCCTAATTACATCTTCTTATACTATATTAAGCAATGGAAACATACATTTTTACTTTAAATATAAATCAAAAACCATATCAGGTTACCTTCTAAATGGCATATCACAGATAAAATGTAGTTGATAGGAATGTCTCTAAGAAGTTATATTGTTATATCCCCCATTAGGAATAATTCAGAGAACGATATAATAGTAGTAAACCTATACTGTACAGTATGCCCTGATATGAACATTTAGGTAAGCATATTTATTGCAATAAATCACTGGTTTGAAAAGACTTTTCCATAAATTCCATTCTCTCTGTAAGATTCGAAAAGAAGAACATTTCACTAAATACATTTCGATTAGGGAAATTGTATTTCTATAAATTCTTAATTGGGATAAAAAGAAGAAAGCGATTTCTTTTCTTAATTAATTAAGTTAAAAAGAGTATTTCAAAACTGCAGACAGATATAGACGTGCCTATCACCAAAGTTGTAAAGTGTGATGTTATTTAAAAGGTTTTTTTTTTTTTTTTTTAATTAGGCGTTCTATTAATAGCTACAAGTAACGTTTAATTAGGCGTTCTATTAATAGCTACAAGTAACGTCTTCCGTGTGTGTAATGTTTACGTGAATGCATTTAAAAATAGACTTGGCTGCTCTCCGGTTATATTCGATTAAAAAATTATCTATTAATTTGAAGGTTTTTTTTTATTCCCAAGAGGTTAAAATAAATTCTGATTATGTACGTGATACAACATATACCTACAAGGAGTTATCTCTTTTAAAAGAGAAAATACAAAATAAATATTGAAGAAAGGAATCACTGTTCGCATATTATCCTTGAGTAATTGGTTCGTTTTCAGGCTCACAGTTGGATACTACGGGGTATCTGCTCGGATAGTGTACTTATGTAATTGTTTCGTTTTTAAATTAAAACTGTAATACGGAAGAAGACTTCTAACTAATGCTACATAAAACTACTCTGTGAAATCGAAAGTAGGTAAAACATCGTACATGTACAACACTAACGATTTGTGATGATACAGGTATATTGGTTGAATTGTACAATTATATAAAATCGATCCTGATTAGAATATACTGTGAACAGGTGCCCATTGCAAAATACATTACACTTAGTGATATTCTTTTCTATGTCATACTTACTAAGCGTAGAGTGGCTCCGTTGTTCAGATTTCAAATGGAATTTCCGTGTTCTATTTTTATCATGTATAGTATTGACATGTGGTCTTATATAGTTTGTTTCAAAAAAGTACTTATGGGTGATGATACTTGCAAGTTATGTCAATGTTAAGATTATAATTGTTAGCGTTGTATTAGGCCACCCGAGACAACCTATGTGTTTATGTGTTGTACGTCTGGGAAAAAATCACATTATGAACATCTAAAAAACACTGCATTGATTAAACTATATATGACCATTTTAAAAACTTATCTGATGACAGTAATATAGACAATAACGACAATGTTGATGAGAATATAACTCTGGATCCTGATGATAATGTACCGCTTCATGATGAGCTAGACTGTCCTATTGCAACAAATGAAATTACCATATGTATAAATAAATTAAAAAAGGACAAATCGCATGGTCTTGATGGAATATTGAATGAATGTTTTTTAGTTGGTAAAGATCTATTGTTACCGGTATTATGTAATCTTTTTAACAATATATTAAACTCTGGCTGTTTCCCGTCCGAATGGGCTATTTATTGGTATTATAACACCAGTACTCAAAAAAGGGGATAAATCTGATCCGAATAATTTCAGAGGTATTAGCTTAGTCAGTTGTCTCGGTGAACTTTTTACGTCAGTATTGAACTCACGATTGATCAAATGGTCAGAAGCATAAGACGTAATAGCCGATGCTCAATTTGGATTTCGACCCGGACTAAGCACAATGGAGGCTACTTTTGCTCTTAATTCAATTATCACTAAATCACTTAGTAAAAATAAACGTCTTTATTGTTGTTTCGTTGATTTCCGAAAGACTTTGACTATGTTGATAGAATAATTTTGTGGTACAAATTGTCCAAGCTAGGGGTTAGAGGCAAACTGTTAAATGTAATTCAGTCTATATATACTAAAGTTAAATCTTGTGTCAAGTTCAAAGTAAGATTGTCGGACTTCTTTGACAATAATGTCGGTTTAATGCAAGGCGAAATTTTATCGCCGATACGTATACGTTTTTCTATGTATATTAACGACTTTAAATCGTTTTTTATTTCCAAATGTAAAAATCACTATGAATTTGAAGAACTGAGTCTGTTTTTAATGCTATATGCGGACGACTTGGTGCTATTTTCTGAATCTATTGAAGGATTGCAAGTTCAAAGAAATGGAATCTGACCATTAATACAGACAAAATAAAGATTGTGGTATTCCGTAAAGGCGGAAAGGTGAGAAATAATGAACCGTGGTACCTAAATGGTGAAATTGTCGCAATAGTTGAGAATTTCACATACCTTGGTGTTAAATTTAATTTTAATAATAAATTTAGTTGCATGCAAAAAAAAATTGTCGGAACAAGGGCGCAAAGCCATGTTTGCCTTATTCTCAAAATGTTCAACATTGAATCTAAATGTGAAGACTTTGTTAAACCTATTTGACACTTATGTGATCAGTATATTGTTTTTATGCCAGTGAAGTATGGGGAGCCAGTAAACGTCTAGACATTAAAAAAGTGCACATACATTTTTGTAAACAAATCCTAAAAGTAAAAAAAATAGTAGTGCAATGGTATATTTTGGAATCGGGCGTTATCCTCTGGAATACTTACGGAAATATATAAAATGATAAAATTCTGGTTTAAATAACTTGATTCAAAAACTTGTATAGTAAAAAGTGCATATACACTCTTATTAGGCAACAATACTCACACATGCTTTAACTGGGTAAACCAAGTCAAGCAGTTACTTTTCGAACTTGGTTTCGGCGACATATGGTTGAGGCAATCGACAATTAATTACAAAAATGTTTTAAAGCTGATAAGTCGAAGGATATTCGACCGTGCACTGCAAGACTTAAGGGGTCTGTTAGAGTCGTCGTCTAAGTGCCTTTTATATAAGCATATTGTAAATCATTTTTCGATTCAATACTATTTAAGCAAATATATTCCTATGAAGTACAGAATTTCTTTAACAATGTTACGCTTGTCTGTCCATACTTTAACAATCGAGACAGGAAGACACCGAAATATAGCCAGAAACGATAGACTCTGCACATTTTCTACAATCTATGTTAGATGCTTTATGTTTGTATAATAATGAATGGAAGCTTACTCTTAACAGAACAGGACGAAAGATGGTTTTATGACAATATCGAAGTAGAAGTTGTAAATGAATTCACTTATCTAGGTATGCTTAATAATTTTAACGGAAAATTCAATAAAACTCAGCAACATGCAGCAGAAAAGGGAAAGAAAGCCTATTTTGCATTATCAAGAAAAATTAAAGAACGGTAAATTTAAAACTGAAACATTATGTTCTGTATTCGACACTTATGTAAGCAGTGTATTGGGGTATGCAAGTGAAGTATGGGGTTTTCACAGAGCTTAAGAAGTTGAAAAGGTTCATACATATTCTATAAAAAACACTAGGTGTGGGTAAAAATACATGTAATGACCTTGTATATTACGAATAAGGTAGACTTCCAATGTATATTGTTCGGAAAATGAAAATATTGAAACACTTGGTTAAAGTGAAAGAAACAGACAATTGTATATTGAAAGCATGTTATGAACAGAGAATATTAGATAAAGATGATTGGATTATAAATATACAATCAGAATTGAAGTTAAGATTAGGGTATTTATGGAATAACTCCTATGAAATTAAGATTGTGTATAACTTAATAGAGCACAAATTTTATGATATACATGTACAAGAAATTTTGTCTAAAATACAGAATTCCCCAAAGGAACATTGTATCAGCATTTAGTAGATACTTTTGGTCTGCAATACTTCCTGAACCTAGTGATCAGTTGTTTAAGCTCAATATTGAAAATGGAAGATACAATAATTTAGCTAGGTCCAATAGAGTTTGTACGTTATGTGATACTCATGATATTGAGGATGAGTTTCACGTCATCCGTAAGTGTCCTATTTATGTAGATTTACGGGTGAGATACCTGAAGCCATATTATTTTAGTCGTCCCAGTGTACTTAAACTTGTTCAATTGCTCAGTGATAATAATGTAAAAGATTTGTGTAATCTTGTTTAATATATAAGATTTGCTTTTAAGAAGCGCTCTCAGTCATTAAAGTATTATCACATTCTTGTGTGTGTGTATGTGTATATGATATCATTCAATCGTTGTATAGTTCAGTTAAGTCATGTGTAAAGCACAATGGTTTGTATTCAGATTTTTTTCAAATACAATCGGTCTATTTCAGGGTGAAATTTTGTCACCCATTTATACTCCATGTTCGCCAATGACTGTGAAATTCATTTTATAAAAGAAGGTTGTCCATCTATTGAAATTAATTTAATTAACATTTTTCTTTTAATGTATGCCGACGATACGGTGCTATTTGCAGAAACGCCAGAAAAAGTTACAACATATTCTGGAAGCTCTGAAATCATATAATAACAAGTACAAACTCAATTTGAACACTGATAAGACGAAAATAGTAGTTTTCAGGAATGGTGGCGGGATACGAAACAACGAAAAATGGTTTTACGACACTAAAGAGCTCCAAGTCGTCGACCAGTTTAATTACTTAGGCATGCTCTTTAATTACAATGGTAAATTTTATGTCACTCAAAAGCATGTTGCAGATCAGGGTAATAAGGCATATTATGCGCTTTGTAACAAGTTCAAAAATCATAATTTCAATATCAAAACACAATGTTCTGTATTCGACACTTATATTAATAGCGTCTTAAGTTACAGTGCAGAAGTATGGGGCTTTCATAAAGCTCTTGATGTTGAAAAGATACACATACATTTCTGTAAAAGGCTACTCGGAGTCAAGAAGAGTACGTGTAATAATTTAGTTTATTGTGAGTTAGGAAGATTACCATTGTCTGCATGTAGAAAACTGAAAGTTTTTAAATATTGGTTAAAATTAAAAACTTCGAATAATTGCATTTCAAAAACATGTTACGAGGAAAGAATTTTATCACATGATAATTGGATTCTTGATATCCGCACAGAACTCAACAAATTAGGTTTAACTTACCTTTGGGAAAATGTTAGAAATGATAGAAATATCTATACAATCATTGAGCAAAGACTTTTTGACTTTTACCGGCAGGAAATATTAACTAATATCCAAACAACTCCGAAAGGATTCCTTTATCAACATCTAATAGACAATTTTTCTTTGCAATCATATTTAATAAAACCAATTGATAATTCATATAAAAAGACTTTAGCTCGCTTTAGACTTAGCTCTCATAATTTAAATATTGAACAGGGAAGATATAGAAACCTTCCTAGAGAACAAAGATTCTGTAACTTATGTAACTCTAATGATATTGAAGACGAATTTCATTTTATATTAAAGTGTAACTTTTATAACGACTTAAGGCGCGAGTTTATTAAGCCTTTTTATTACAAACGACCAAGTGTTTTCAAATTGATACAGTTATTTACTACTCAAAACATTAAGGAATTAAATAAATTAGGAAAATTCCTGTTTTTAAGTTTAAAACGTCGTAATAACACTGTATAATATTTTATCTCATTTTTCCTGTAAATGTTCATTTCAGTATACCATATTTGATAAGATATTTGTATTATGTGTATATAGTGTAACAAAAAGGTGATTGTGCCCGTTCATTTCCTTTCCTATGTGATATAAATTATATGGTAAATTAATCATAATTAACAACTTCGAAACATCGACGAGTATTTTCTATATCGTAATATCACTGTCACTAACGTCGGGTGTAACATGGTATTTATTACACTATGGCAGTGTATTTTATTGGTTTTTTTTTACTGTTCTACCAGAGAGTATTTATTCGTGACATATGTGCGATACAATATATGTAACTATATTAATCCAGTTATCATTACCTGTAACGTACGTCGTTGAAAGTTATACTATTGTTTTGCTTGCACTGTATCGGAACCTTACGATGTTGGTGTATTGCAGTGTAAAATGCTGTCTCTTATTATATGTCATTTTGAAGTACTGCAAGATTAATGAATATTATTGTATACATGTATCATTGTAAATTTGTAATATA